TTTCCTTCGTCATCCGGGTCCCCAGATGGTGAATTAAGGGAAGAATAAGTTCTTATTTGAATCTTGCCGAGTTGCAGGTTTGGCTTCCCATTGATACGATAAATGTTCTCTTTGTCTTCGTCATCTAGGTGCGCGGTTTCATTCTGACGACTGTTTATGCTTAAAGCCTTCTTACCTAGTTCAAACATAAACCCTACAGTGATAATCAAGATGATTATTAAGACGATAATTAATCCGTATATTCCATTTTCTCGTCCACTCATGGCGAATGGATATATGATTAGGATTTCTAAGTCTAAAAGAAGATAAACGAGAGCTACTAAGAAAAACTGGACGTCAAAGTGTGCCCGGTTCTGACCAAGGTGGGAAGAAAAACCGCATTCGAAAGGGGATTCCTTTATTGAATTGGGATCTCTTGGGGCTAACAAGAAATTTAATGCTAAAAATAGGATAGCCAAGATTGTGACTAATACGAAGATGAAAGTTAGACTACTCATTTTTTAATTTGGGGAAAACATTGCCTCACAGGCAGCCAGGCTCATCCATAATGTATCCATTAGCATGTACGTCAATATTCACATTGTTATTGCAGATATGATCAACGCTAATGGTGCCGGAACAGTTATTTTCTCAACTGCTGGTCTATCCGCCGGCACGGTAAAGAATATCTCTTTAACAAGACCTAGGTAGTAAATTCCTCCTATAACACTTGTTATTATACCAACTAATGTTAAGAAGATAAGACCCTTATCTAAAGCTGCTAATAATACTAATAGTTTTGCAAAGAATCCTGCTAACGGTGGAATCCCTAAAAAGGAAAATATTGTAACAGTTAGGCTTATGGCCAAAACAGGATTACGATAATAATATCCATTTAACTGCGAAATTAGCTGGATTGGCGAGTTCGTCATATCATATAGTTTACCTTCACTTCTATTCGTTCGAGTGCTTAATGTTAATCCTATTGCGACAAGGATCAATCAGATGTTTAAGTTACTGATAATATATTGCATTAGATAGAATATAAAGGCTAACTTTGATTCCACTGTACCTAAACTCAGAGCTAAGAGTATAAACCCTATGTGTGAGATCGAGCTATAAGCCAATAATCTTTTAATTCGGTATTGCGTCAAACCAAGGACCGTTCCGACTAGTAAGGACAACAGTGAGCACATCAAGATCATTCATGTTAGACTATTATTTTCACCTCCTAGAACATTGACTAATTGCATGAAGAACACAAAGATTGATACTTTCGCAATGAACGTAACAAATGCTCCGATATGTGTAGGGATTGCATCATAGACGTCTGGCGTTCACATGTGGAATGGCGCTGCACCTATCTTAAACATAAAGCCAGCTCCTAGAAGAACTAGTGATATGTTTCAATATTCAGAGTATATACCCGTACTATTTTTACTGATAATATTTAACAGTACACTTATTGTATCCATACGAGTACTTCCTGTGTTAGCATAAATACCAGCAATTGCTAATAATATTAGACTAGAACCCAATATCCCTAATAGATAATATATTAGACTTCCTGAGACAGAGACTTCTGAGTTACGATAGATTGCACAGATAGTGTATAATCCATAGCTTTGAATCTCCAGTGCGAGAAACATTGTCACTAAATCATTAGATGATATTAAAATAAGTGCACCCATGATAATCATTAATAGCATTAAAGGGTACGCAGAAGGCGAAAAGCTACCCTTAACTGTAAAACTGGTTAGAACGAATACCAATATACTCATCGTTAAAATAAATATGCTAAACATTAGGCTTATATTGGTTAGCTTTATTAAACCTCCATGTAGAGCTATATCGGTAGAATTTAAAGAATACACCGTAAAATGATTCAGTATAGCGAACACTAAAATAATCATGCCGACTCTATTATATAGAATTGCAAGATCTCGTCTATTATTGACGGAGTTGGATAGAAGAAAAATTATTGTTGTGAATAAAATCATTATGTTAAATATTTTTTATTTGCTCACCTATTCCCCCAAGAAGCTGCCCCTAAAAGTGCAACCGTCAGGGGTAATCAGAGATTATTAGAGCTACCTAAAAGTAGCCAGATTCTCCTGATCCCCAGATACCTGGGATATGTGTCAAATGTAGCCAAAGAAAAGAATCGAACTTAATTCTCCCTGCTATGAGTCGGGCGTTTTACCGTTAAACTACTTTAGCTCCTACGTCTACGTTATACGTTCTACTTAGACTCCCGGGAAATGGCGGGCGTTTTTAGTATTCATCTATTTGATTACGTTCTCTAAGGTTTCCTTCCTTCTGGGTAATGTTCAGGATTCGAACCTAAATCTTCTGACACCACAAATCAGCGTATTAACCGTTATACTAATATTACCTTTGCTGCGGGTGGCTGGTCCCCCAGCCCAGACCTGCTCGGGTTCCCTTACCTACCCTTTTATTTTCTTTGTACATGGTTATGTTCACGTACACGTACACTACACGTTACCGTACCTTGCTCGAAATCAGAGCTTATGTCAAGGCGAGTCGAACGCCTACTGCACACACCAAAAGCGTGGGTCCTACCGGGTTTAGACGATGACATATCTTTATCTTCACCGATCTCGATGCATTATCTTATGTCAAACGTATAGGTGGCAAGACTTGAACTCGCACGGCACGGGCTGCCTCTCCGACCTAAACGGAGTTTGTCTACCATTCCAACACACCTATTTTGAGCTTAACTTTACTTAGCTTAGCTCTGCTCTGCTTATGTAATTGATAGAATCTGACGGACTCGAACCGACGTTTGAGTGAGCAAAAACCACTTGCAATAACCTCTATACTAAGACTCCTTCCGTTGGGGTCTAGAACTACTGCATGGCAGGAAACCCAAAAGGGGAACCCCCATACTACATGCGTAATTTTTATCAGATGGATCGTTAAACCTTGATTATCGGTCAACATTTTAAGATTTTGGCCTTCCCATCTACGTTCAAAGCTTAATATGTTAGAAAATAACTTTCTTTTAACTACTATTTTACATGTACCGTCTGTGATTTTCCCCCATCTAACGATATAAGAGTTAGTTCCTATCTTCGTGGACCTTCCTCCTCTTATGTTTCTTCATTCCACTGTAGTGAATATACGTTGGTGGTGATTGTCAATATAAAATATTCTCTATTCGTCAAACTAATATTTACTCCGTTTTTTTATCCTACTTCGAATCTCCCTTTTGGCGAGAATGCGTTTATCTTTGGATGCATAATTCCCTCTTATATCCGTTCTAATAAAATTTGCATACTTTGCATTTGACTATATTTTAACACTAGTCTTGTCTTAAATCTACTGAACTAAGCTCTCATTCTACACTAATCGTCGTATAATCTAACATAGTTGAAGAATTCTCCACTATAGGTAGAGCCACTCCGTCAACTTCAATTGTGTCTACCTATATTTGATCCTCAGGGCCCAATGTTCCGTACGTAGACTACTTATTTAAACCGTCCACTTAACTATTTTGCTGTAAGATTTCGTCTCTTTCTCGATAGGTAGGCCTTTTTTTTAGCGGAGCTAGCCCTAATAAGAGAGAAAAGCCTGCACAGGAATGAGGCCTCTCTCCTACGGAAGGTTTACCGTACAGGTACAACCCACTTGACGCTTATGTAAGTGGGTATATTCACAATTAAATAAATTTTTAGAAAAGAGAATTATATACAATGTTAACCTTTACTATTACACAGAAATCACCAGTACGATGGATATTCTTCTTCTACTGGTCCATATTTCGCTCCTGCTATACACCCTAGACGTCCTAGACTTTCTGGGGCTGCTGGTAGATGATTACGTAAGATGAATAAAGCCAAACGCTTTCACATGGGTTTATTGACTAGAGATTTTAGACTATATTCTACAATGTCTCCGCCTTACACACAAAGCCAGTTCCCCAAAAAAGATCGTATCAACAAATGAATGAGCCATGCTATCTTCTTTGATGCTGATTTTGAAGAATTCTTACGTAAACTCTTTTGTGATAATAGAATTGTCATTGTTCTAACTCTAGAGTAGTTGTTACACTTACTTATAGTTAACCTTAGATTCGCGACGTGATCCTAAATTCATTCACTACTATTTTAATTGGCTACTAAACTACTTGTATAGCTTCAGTCTATACCTTACTCCCATGGTGTATATTCTAAGAGAAAGTATGGTAGCATTTGAAAGCCAGCCCAGCCCAGCCCCAGCCCCGTGACGTAGGGCGTACTTATAGTTGATTACGGAAAATCTTTAAACATATGTATAAGTTGGACTCTCGGGTCCCCAAAGATAAACATGTTGCGGTTATAGACACAATACATAACTTATATTTCACGGATGCACTGCTCTGCTCTGCTCTGCTCTGCTCTGCTCTGCTGCCCGATACTCTTTAAAATATAAACTCGGCGCCTGGACTTTACACTGTTCAAGGTAAGACTCGAACTTACAACCAAAACAGCTTCAATGTTACACTCTACCAATTGAGTTACTCGAACTGTAATTATCTAATTATTTCTACTTGGAGAAACTTGGTGTCGATCCAAGAATATCGATACGCAAAATCGGAGTTTTACCAGTTAAACTATATCCCCTGGGCTGATAATTATACTAGTACACCTAAAGATGGCAGGGAACCCGGAACCTACAATGTTATCTATCTAAGGAGAGATTTGAACTCGCACGGACTAATCCAAGTTAGCTTAAGCAACTACTGTCTACCGATTCCAGCACTTAGACATTATTGTGGCCTTTGTTATTTTACTTAGGGCTGAAGTGACTCGAACACTCAATAGTATCATCATGAGTGATAAGCTTTAACCTAATTAAGCTACAACCCCCATACCTCCACCACCACTAGAAAATCTGATGTTAGGGAAAAAATATGCGGATACCGGACTTGCACCAATATCTTTGGGACATGAGCCCAATGTGTTTACTAGAATTACACTAACCCGCGTGGAAGCTATGACACCCTTGGACTGACTGTTCGAACTAGACTGGGGTCGAACCAGCAATATTAGCCGTGAAAAAGCTACGTCTTAACCATTGGACCACTAATTCCTTCTTCTTTCTTCTTTCTACCCGATGAGAGAATTGCACTCTCTTTTATTGATTACAAAACAATTGCATTAGCTCATTATACGAATCAGGCCAATGCTTTTTTATTTAGTTTAATGTTGATGTTGATATATGGTAAATTAGTTTGATAAGAAATTAGTACTCTAATCTTTCAACTCTCTTGAGTCTTCCAAATTGAGCCTATTTTTGTAATAGAACATTACGTATTTTAGAAATATTTTCAGATTAGCTTCGTGCCTATATGCTTTCAGCACTTATCTCGTCCAACTTAGCTTTCCTGCCATGCCTAAACTCTAAATTGATCTCGTGAAAAAGACCAATACCTCTAAAAATGAATTATAGAGAGCTTAAACAACAGATATACCATTGGTTAGTAACAAAGTTAAATTTAACTACTCGGTCCTTGCGTACTAAAGTTAGTTCTGATTTTATTCCAATTTCCCGGAGAAGATAGAAACCATACTGTCTCACGACGTATTTAACCCAGCTCATGTAGCTTTTTAATCGACGAACAGTCGAACCCTTCTAAGCTTCTTCAACCTAGAGGATAAGCTAAGCCGACATCGAGGTACCAATCAACGCTCTCAATTTGCACGCTCTAGCGTTATTAGCCTGTTCAATTTGTTATTCAGATGCATTATCTTATTTTCCCGTTCTTTCGATTTGGGTTCAGACTATGTCATTCATATTTAGTACACCTTTACCTTCGTGTCCATTTTAATTTTATTGTAGAGTTATTTCCCTGCTAATCAGCCTTTTACCGCAAACGCTCCTATTCTACGTTTTGACTTTGTTATTGAATACGAGATATTAGTGTTGGCGTTTCCTCTGAACTTGATTGACTTTATATCTTTTAGTGTGCTATCTATGTTCATTAGTCCACCTTTATATTTTATTGTTGAGACTGATTTATCTGCTCTATAACGCTTTGTTAGTCTCCCACTCACTTCAATTCTTATTCCACTAATATTCTTATATCCGATATTCGAATAAACAGAGTTATGTATCTCATTCTTAGAGTTTTCGCCAAAGGCTAACATTGTTGTTGTTGCTAATCCACCTGAGGCTAACTCGTCTTTTGTTCTAGCCTCTTGCATTAGATCTCTACTCAGTAAACTGTCTTGACTATCAATCTGTGGTATGTAAGCTCGGTTAATTAGACTTAACATACTTTTTATTCGATTTATTCGGCTCTTCTTTAGCTTTAATGCTAATGCTTGTGTGAACAAATCCGTATTATATGCTATAGACTTTAATTTGACAATATTATATTCTATACTCTGCTTCTTCTTTCTTCCTATAGCCAGTAACTTCTCTATAATCTTGCTTAATTTGAAGAGCATAGTATTCTTTGAAAATTTATTTTGATTTATCGTTGAATTTACCTCGATTTCTCTTAAGCTATTTAAACTTTTCACTAGACTTCTCGATATCAATACGCTTCAAACCTTTTTCAGATAAAGATTCTTTACGACTAGAAATTCTTTTATAAAGGCGAACGGATACCCTGTACCTGTATGTTTGCTCTGCAGCTCTTTGAATGACTGTAGGCTTATCATTCTTATTAGACCTTGATAGAATTTATTGTAACGGTCTAACATTAGTGTACTGAATCTTTTCTTTAACATTAAATATTTTTTTGCTAGAACTTCTCTTTCTCTATCGACTAGATATAATGTTATCTTTGCTTTATTGTGATTTAACTTTATCTCTGCATCACTAACAAATGTTTGTCTCAATAGGATTCTTCTTCTTCGAATGCTTATAATGTTTTTACCGTTTCTTCCTTTTCAGATTAGTAATCTACTAGCCCTTAATCTCATATAGCTTTTGATTAATTTGTTTAATTTCTCTAGGCTTATTGGCAGATTTGTAGCTTTACTTTTTTTCGAGTGTTGAAACGTAGTTACTTTTCATTCTCTTGTGAAAGCTGAGTTTAGGGCTGCGAATTTGTTTTTTGTTTTCTTCATTTTGTTATGTCTTCTTCAGTTCTTTTATCTTTGTAATTTGAATTCGGTAAAGGTGTATTTAGATATGTAGGGTACATAATTAAGGATTATTGTTCTCATACTTAGACCCTAATAGATTTATAGTTATGCCACTCACCTTATAGTCGTTGGACGGATTTAGATCTTTCATCTAAACTTCGCTTCAAGTTTACTATAGATTGATTTTAGTTCTTCTTGAATTTTACCCCATTTTTTGTTAATTATTTAGCATTAAATATTAAAGGACAATTTATCCCCGGCGTATCTTTTCCTATAATCCTTGAACCTTCCATAAAGAATTCAGTGATCCTATGCCCCGCGTATGCGTCTGTAAGATTTGTTGGCTATCAAACAGTTAGGCAAGATTAAGCCGTTGTGCTTTTTCGGTATTCTTATCATCACTAGCTTTACTTAAACTAGTTAGAATCCATTCCATTATAAGAAATTAAGAATAGACTCTTTATCTCTAATTTCACATTAGTTAAAATCCTACCTGTTCTTAATCGTATGTGCTAAAAGTAAATCTAGTAGCAAATATGATTAAATGTTATATGATTATCATTATACTTCTATAATTCAAATTGCAAACAAAATATTGTTATTCTTTTTTAGACACTCTTGTTTACTTTTTACAAGGTCCTTGCCCCGAGTAAACTGTCCCCTAACTACTTTTCCTTGACCAAGGTTACTCACTAATGATTAGTAA